GGGTACGAGCGCGACGTCGCTGACGTAATGAAGTATGTCGATGGCATTTGTTTGCGGAAAACGTTGAGTTTGTTTGAAGATCCCGTGCTCAAAGCGTCTGTTCCGCCGCCCTTTGTCCCGCGACCGCGCTTCGATTGCATTGTGTCGGGAAAATGCATGCCTGAGTGCAGCGGCGCGTCCTTTATCGGCGCGAGCGTTCTATATAGAGCGCTTTTCCGAGCGCTTCCACCTTATCGCTCGTGTTTGCGTCATGGACTCGAACTTCCAATTCCTAATCGATCCGCGGTGTCGGGCGGGAATCTTGGAGAGAGAAGGAGAAAGAGACGCTGGTGTCTCTTCAGCGTTACGCGTTTACGAGGAAGAATAAAAAAAAAAAAGAGAGAAAGAGAGAGTCGAGAGTTGCTTCTATTTTTCTACGCTCGCCGCTTCAAGCTAAAAAATATATTTTTTTACGTCCCGTAAAACGAAACTTTGCTCAAGGAGAATCCGAATGGTTCGGTTAAATAGTCAGTATAAAAAAAAAAAAAAAACCGGGAAAATGCGCTGGTGTTAGCTGCCGATCCGTCAATGGAATCGAAATCGAGTACGCGCGTATACAGCGCGCGAAGATCCGCACGTTGAAGATCAGTTACGATTCGTCCGGAAGATAAACGCGGCGATACGCCGCACTCTTGCGTGGGAAGCGGCGTTTCCCAGCGCGCATCGATCGCCGATGCATTTCGACGGCTCGGACACGATTCCGGCGTCAAAGGTCCAAGGTCGGCCTTGCTTAATAGCGAGGACGGTCGCGGCACTACCTGCCGACATCTTACCGCCACACAGGATATACAGGTCTGTTTCCTAAAAAAAAGATTTTTATTGTCTTTTTCTTGAGAAGGAATTGTTTTTGAAAGCATACTAGCCAGGCCAGATACACAGCATGATTTACGATATATGATGTTAATGCATTTTTAGATGCACACACACACACATTTTTAGATACGCACACACACATATATATATATTGCGCACACACACAGATTGAAAAAAGTTTCGCAGCTTTAAGAGTGCAGATAAGAGAAAGCAATTTTTAAGTTAACGACACTGCTCCGATAAACTCAAACATGATGTTAAGTCGAAATTACTTTGAGAAGTTCTTCAAGTTCTTGATTATTATCTTTATGTAGATAACTTTTGCTCTATCTCGTACTGATTATCACAAAATGCGAGTGACCTGACCTGAAAAATTGGTTATTTTGCTAATATCGTATAATCTAGCTGGATAGTTCGCTAAAAAACGGAAGACTTGTGGATTTGTTTAGGCAAACGTATGGATAGGAAGAAACTAAATCATTTCTGTTAAATTGCGTACATTGTCATTAAGAAGCCATAGAGAATCTTTCTGTCGGAGTTTCTTCGGCACGCGCGCTCAGTTTAATGAATGCAGAGGGAAGGAACTGCGAGATATAATTAAAAGATTTCTCGAGCTATGAACTCTAATCGAGTTTATAGCTGGGATAGTAATGAATCGCCACTAGATTCAGTCGAACTATTTGTATTAAAGTAGAGTTTGCGTTTTGAATATCAAATTTTCTAAAAATAACTAGTAGCTCTATCAGTTTAATAATAATTAAGAATATACATATATATATAAAACTTGCGGGACTTTATAATTATAGACTCTTGAATAGAGAAATTGTTTTGAAACTGCAATAATATTCCTTCTCTCTTTCTTTTCTGCGAATTTCCTCACTCTTGACCTTTCTTAATTCAGATTCGAATACTCACAGAAGTCGTTGGAAGATTTCCAGAAACAACAAATAATGTTTCCACCTAATTCGCAGCTATTTAATCGCTTAACTCATAAAAGTTCACTACCAGATTCTGTTGTGACTTAAAATTATCGCTAATAAAACTGTATTTATCTTTTAATGTATCAATACTACATAATATTGAATATAAATTTTGGATCTTTAAATTTTTTAATATAGTATTAAAAAATAATAAAATATGAAATATAGGAACAAAAAATAAAATCGCGGATCGCGCTTACTGTCAGTTTTTGGACTCGTCGCGATTGTCAGTAATTTTTTAATTGGAAACGAAAAAGCGACATATTGCTTTCTTTAGTAATCAAATAATTAAATATTCGAAAACATAGTATGCAGTTTTAACATAATTAAATATTCGAAAACATAGTGTACAGTTTTACTCTGTATATATGTATATATGTACATAGTTACGTGTAGATGTTCTAGGAGCTTTTTAAACGTGATATTATTCCGTGCTTTTTGAAGCGTACGAATAAATGTAGTGTTTCGTGTTTCATATTCCACGATTAATGTCTCATTTAAGGGAAAGCGGGAAATTACGACACGGAAGTAGACACAATTAGGACATATCCGTGATGAAAATGAATGAAATGAATCCTATTTCTGTCAGAGGAGCTCCTAGTCGGCGTATTTCAAAATGGATTGGAAACACGAGATTAAATTGAAGTGATAGATACTACGCTGCACATCACAACAATCGCTAATGTGATTAATTAAACATACTTTTTTACACTGCATTACATGATATTATTCTACTGAAAAAAAGGAGAGAAGAAAGATACGCGGAAATGTTAAATGTTTTATTCACATGACATATTATTGTATTATCGTCGCGACATACACGCATTTTATTTACCACATTTCTATCTTTGAGCTCGTAATGTGCTTGTGAATTGTAATTTGAAGCGATACCGATGAAAGCGCGGATTAAATCTGTTAACAGCCGTTCACAGCTTGTAAATCCGCGTTTGAAAACCTCGATTGAGGAGATTTTCCAATTTTCCCGGTACCTATTGATTTCGCGTGGGTAACACGATTGTCGTTTGGAGAGGGAATGGGGGAGGAAGGTCAAATTAATATCAGAAGCTCCTCGATTTGCGTGGATTACCGTTTATTACCTCCAAATGAAGCTAAAAGGTCTTCATGTGCATTGCAATTTTCCGCGAAATAAAACTGTGAAATTGAACTCGCGTGGAAAATACGTTTTTACAAATTCTTGATTTTTTTATGTATCAAATTTTATTTGGCTGATTACACGGCTTTTTTGACGATTATTACGATGCTGAGTGGAAAAATGTGTAGGGCCGAAACGCGCGCGTACGATTTTTTTCGCACTGTTAAGCTCTGCGTTTAAGCAAAGGGATGAGAAACCGTGAGAATATCCTTTTTTTACGCGATGCGTTATACCTTGCGGTGGTTTTGTATCTATGCTTTTGAAAACCTCGTGAATTTAATTCGTATTTTTAACTGTGACGAACGTTTATAAAGCTTAGCCATTGACAGAAACGATAAATAATGTTTTTTTATCTTTGTTGTATTAACTTTATATAAAATATTGTTTTTATATGTGTTATAAAATAAATAAGTAAAATGGAGTAAAAAAGTAAAAAAAAAAAACAAATTATATAAATTTTTTCCAAAATTATTAGTTTTTTTTTTGAGTAAATGCGTGAAGAGAAATGTACACATTGGTCAAGAAAACACTGTATAAAAATTTTCATAATAATAGTTTATTTTGATATCATGAGAATATTCTTTTTACTATCTTAAAAGATAAAAAAATATATTTACTTAAGTATTTTTAAATGAGCTTTATTATCCAGTTTTAAAATTTAGTTTATATATCTATTTCTTAAAAAGAATCTTAACACATGTGTAATAAAGAAAATTATTAAGTGTTTATAAAGATATGGTAATAGTTAATTTTTTATAAACAAAGAATATTTAAAATTTAAGAAAAACAAAAGTTACAATATTTAATTAAATAAATTAATTTAATTAATAATCGAATTACAAGAGAAATTATAATATTATAATAAAAGGATATCATAATATTATCAGACAAAAAAAATTTTTTTTTAGTACTATTTCAATGTACATTCACCAACTTTTCACCGCAAACTAAGCATTGTAATGAATGTATGTGTTAAATTGAGTGCCGGACTGCGGCGAGAGAATAGGTAAATTAAGTTACTACATTGAGGAAACCGCTCGAAAACGTACCAACTTGCTTTGAAGAAACAAATGTTTCTAAATGCAACGGCTTTATTTGTCTTCCAAGATTGCGCATTACTAAAATTTTATTCGCTTTATTTGTTTTTATGTTGATTTGAAAAAATATAATTTTTATTATCTATAAAATAATTAATCTTAATTTAGTTACCAAAACTTACAATGCTTATTAATTTATTTTTGTACTGAACAATGATTGTTGACAATAAAAAATAATTATCTTTCAAAAATCATAATTAATACTTAAAAATTTTACATTAACAAATAATATATAAATAGATATTTGATTCAACATTATAAAATATTATTTTGAATTATACAGTTTAATAATTTTTAATAAGAATAGTATATTACAAAATAATCAAAAATATTTTCTATTATTTTTAATTATAATAGACGAAATATATATTAAATAAAATTAAATATAATTTTTGATTATACATAAATATTTTTGATGTTTATCTTTTTTTACAAAAATTAAATAATTATAATAACAATGAAAAATATTGAAATATAATGCGCGATGCATTCGATATCGTTTAAATTGAGCGCTTTGTGCGCTACATTGTGTGGCTATGAAAGTATGCATTATTTATAAAATAAGAACGTCAACATTGTAGATAGATACGAGCGTTGCGTTAATTCTTGATATCTTACGATATATTTATTTTAGATATATCGCGGAATCGTGCACGCCGTAGTCGCGAAATCTTATTCGCAATCGAATAGAACAGACAATGTTCGCTTAACCGCGTTTGAATTCGAGCGCCCTTCGCGCCATTCCCCGGGCAGATGCACGAAGGTCAAAAGTATTTTAAAAATAAGGCCGTAGGCATTGGCAGATTGGTATGGCAGTGGACGTTAAGGGTCGGGTGGCGTTGTAATGGCAAAAAGTTTGCGAAAGGTGAGTAATCGACGTGCACGATGGGCAAAATATATTTGACGGTGCGTGGTGTGCGGCGCGTAACCTGCGGCGGGTTCGTGTAAATAAAGCGGTACGCGTAGCTAGCATGAGTGGTTAGAAATCAGGCGTCAACAAATCGAGTTTCCGCGAGGAGGCTCGTGGAGGCTAGATCAGCGCGACCGACAATGGCACCCAAGCGCGAATATTGACATTGCCAAAAACATTACCTCCGAATATATCGGATTATTATCGTATACGTGGGTGGCACGTACTGCGTCGCAATTAGTAATCTACCTCGCGGCTGCCTGTGTCATAGTTTATCGCGTAGAAATCCGGCGCGGGCTAGTTCGATCGGGCGCTAAGGTTATGCGAAAAATGTTTTCTGCACGTATAGTAGCGCGGCGTGAACCCTGAAGGGTTTTACAGTTATACTGCAATGTGGCACATTTGCAGAAGCACGGAGGACGTTGTGTTCGTCTAGAGCCGCGATTTAATCTGCGCGGAGATATTGTCAGGGCGATAGGAGAGAGTGCGTGGAGAAAGTGTGTGAGTTAGCGTTTTAAGGGTTAGGGAGGCATTCAGTAGCCAGGGTGAGCATAGATTTATGTAGACAGTTCAGGGCAACTAGTTTGGTTGTAGGGTCGGGATTGGAGATAGACAAGATGGACCAGCAGTATTGTCTACGGTGGAACAATCATCCAGCCAACCTCACAGACGTTCTCAGCTCGCTGCTTGCCAGAGAGGCACTTTGTGACGTGACCCTGGCCTGTGTTGGAGAGACATTCAAGGCGCATCAGACCATACTTTCCGCATGCAGTCCATATTTTGAGAGCATTTTCCTACAAAACACCCACCCCCATCCAATTATATTCCTCAAGGATGTCAATGATACGGAGATGAAAGCTTTGCTGCACTTTATGTATAAGGGCGAAGTAAATGTTAGTCAGCATCTGCTACCGATGTTCCTTAAAACTGCAGAGGCATTACAGATCAGAGGCCTCACTGATAATAGTGTAAATAACAAGACGGAGGAAAAAAGTCCTTCGCCAGAGCCAGAAACACAAACTGGAGTCAGACATACTGATTCACCTAACCTCCAGTCTCATTCTGAGAAAAGGAAAAGAAAGCATTCAGGCAGCTACGATGTTTCTCTCTCTGGTCCACCTAGCGAAAGATTCTTATCCGATTCTCAGGTATGTCAATATAATTTGCTTATTCTTTTTTGTAATTATATCATAAATTAATTAAGTGGCATATATTTCACTTTTATCTATTTTCTAGGTTACTTTTAATATACATATATTTTTATCATGAGCTATTTATGTTATATTATACGTTGTATCTTAATCCAAGATTAAAAGGAATTATATACAAGTTTTTTATTAGAACTTTGTTGAAGTTTGAATATAATTATTCCAATAATATTAGATATAGATGTTAATTCTCTGATTATATGTTGGTATTTCTATTATAATTTTTATATCAGGATACGATGACATGCAAATAATATCATGTTATATATGCAGAGTTTATACAAACGCTGTTTCTATAAATAATATAATGCTGTTTCAAACGTTGATTTCTATTTATATATCAGCAGACACACTGCTGCTTAAAATTTGGTTTGATTGTGATCTCACAATATTATCAATGAAATACATATGTGTATGTGATTGCACAGCTTTCCAAATAAGTTTACTTGCAACCTTGGAGAGTTTAGGCCAAAAGCTGATATCAGCTGTACAATTTATGAGACATTATCATAAAGCTCTTTCTATACATTTTTTAAAAATATGTTTACATTAAAAAATATGTATTATTTAATTACAAATTTGTTATTATCTTTGTAGATATTATTATTTGACAGAAATTTTATTGTGATGAATATATTTGTTATGACAAATGCGCTTATTGCTTTTAAGCAAAAGAATCAATTGATGAGTTTTATTTATTTGTGTTTTTCTTTTAAGGAAAATCTTTTTGCAGTCAAACTTTACATAACTATCAAGAGATGGGGGATATAGTATTTTAAAAAGAACTAAAGAAAAATTTTAATTGATTGTTTCAGACATCCTCGCAGTGTAGTTACAAATCAAGTCCTCCTGTGATTCCAAAGTTAAATAATGCTCTGGGAGTTGAAATGGAAGATGGTGGTCGACCCATGTCTCCTGCATCACAACCGCAGACTATAAAACAAGAGGTGGATCACCATTTGCCCGACTTTCATGACAATATTTCTCTACCTGTAAGTAATTTTCCATGCTTATGTATTGACTGTTTTTACTTGGTTTAACCATTTCTTTTTATATCTTGCACTTATAAGTTATAACCTTACACATATGTAGTTTGCTTTTCTACAAGCACTTAAGAATGTAAGATATTAACTTTCTTTAAATTTGTCAAACTTTGCATGACGTATATTATTATATGTATTAATGTGTGTATTTATGTTTTTTTTGCTGATGAGCTGATTCTAAATATTCGATATTTGGAGTTCCTGTTGATACAGTTGAAAGAAATGTATTATTTTTTGATACATTTATCATGATAGCATAAAAGATAAAAAAAGATAAGAACCGAGGTTATGGTCATGTTTCTTTATCTGAAGTTACTTAGATTATAAAAATGATTAAAAGTAAAGTTCCATTGCTTGACATTTCACCATATTTGTCTATATCTTTGTCATATTTGTATATAACCATATAATTTTAAAGTAATAATGAATATATGCTTATATATATATATATATATATATATATATATATATGTATATATA